TTACTTGCATCCGAACAAGGATATTTTTATTACCAGTTCTGAAAAAAAAAGAAAAGATAAAAACTTAAAACTAGCTTTCCTTTTTTAAACAAACGAAGGAGAAGCTGATCCTGTATATTTGTAGGAAAGTACTTTAACAAACATAGTTTGCTTTCGGTTAAACGTTTAACACAGCTCTAGTCTCACAGACGCACACAGCGTGGAAGCTGCCGCAACTCCGTTCCCAGTTTATATACGCCCAACCCTGATTAGCAATTGGGGACAGCCGTGCAGATCTACCCGCTGCAGAGGGGGAGGGCAGTACCCTGAGGAGTACAGGAGAGAGAGAAGCACAAAACACTATTATTGGCTACTGCGATGCCAAGTCCCTCCCTTGGTGCCTGTTTAGAAAGGAAATACATAAATATGGGGAAGAATGTAGCACTCTGATTCCTGTTTCATGTAGACTTTCAAAATGGGTGTGCTAGAACAGGGATTTTTTAAAATGAATCCTACAAAATAAGCTCAGCAAGCTAACAATTGCAGCTTATGTTAGAGGAAATAAACCATTCCTTACACTTTGCTCTTACACTTTCTCATATAGTCAATTAAAATCTGCCATGCCTTTTAAAACGTGTAGCTAAAACATGTAGTGTTCTTTCCTGTCAAAAATGGCGTTGATCATGATGTAAGTCTGAAAAACTACAGTAGTGTCTCTCTCTTGTGCGCTCTGTCTCTGTCTCTCGCTCTCTGTCTCTCACTTTCTGCATCTCTCGCTCTTTCTGCCTGTCTGCCTCTCTCTCTCTCTCTCTCTCTCTCTCTCTCTCTCTCTCTCTGAGGGTATTTCAACAAGGTGCTGACAAGAAAAATGATAATGATGTGTCTGTCACGATGCAGAGCTCGGTAAATTTGTCATGATGGCAGGTGACTGATGGCCTGGTATCCTCCATTGGCCAAACCATGAATTCTTTCCCTGAACATTCAAACGCACAGACACACGCGCACACACGCACACACACACACACACACACACACACTTAGAAGTCAGGATTTCGAAAATCACATGTACGAGCAGGTAAATCACATCTTTCCTCAGGTTTATGGTCATTGTTCACTGACATCTGTTTTCCATTTGCAGCATGGAAACCACGAAGTCCTTATGATAACCTTTACAAACTGTCAACTACTGTACCGAGACTGTAACTTTGAAATGTGTGACATGGATGCTGTAATCATTCCTCTTCTTCTGCATAGTGATATGTAGGCTACATCAAAGTATCCACCAAGGTCATTATTGTTTCAGTGTTGCAAAGATTTGGTTCAGTTCAGTGTGGCTCAATTTGTTAGACTGCATAGAATTTACTTTCAATCTCAAGCTTGTAACTCTTCTTGATTTGTGTGGTGTTACAGTGTGTCTCATAAATTCATAAAATGATGTTTTAATGGCTTTGTGCAGCATTTAGAGCACTAGAGAAAAAAGTTTACTCCACTGACTTGACATGCTTACAACTAAAATCATGTTCTGTTGTTATTGTTTTTATTCATTTCCATTGTCTAATCCTCTCCATTTACTTTCTGCTATAAATTCTAAAAGCTAAAGCCACTATGGGACATGGATAGGGAATAAAAACTATTACCATTATTCTTATCTAGTTTAATGAGAAAAATTAAAAACCTTTATACATATACTATTTCTGCACAATGAAGAAACAAAATATAGTGTGGTGTATATTATAAAAGTAACATAACATTCTTAAAATTTGTCAAAGTACAGGATAGCATTGATTAAAGATCTTGTTTTATTATAAACTGGAACATAGTGCATTTGATGCCGACATTACAATAAACAGTAGAGCTGTTGCAACTAGAGTTCCCTGTTCAACATTTTCAGCAGTGGTGAGGGAATGTATTTTCTGTGGCAAAATGATGACAGATAAATCCTGATCATCCGTTCATTTTTTCAACCATAAAGAAACTCAGCCATGTGATGGGACTTTCATCTATTGTTGTGAATCTGAATAAGGTGTGCTCCATTTATTGGTCTGTGCTTGCCAGAAATTGTTGTCTAGAGACATGTCAGCATCAATGGCTGTGTGACAAATGTCACCATGTGTTTGGTGTTTTTGGAAAGAGGGAACATGCGAAGAACATTTCTATAAATGTTTAATAAGAAGCAGGAAAACAACAAGTTCATACAGTGCTGTAGTTGTGCTCCATGTTACAGTTATTGAAAACTGACTTTAAAGATTCCATTTTTAAGGAGGAACAGTTTTTATTTTTATTTTATTATGATAGATTTTTATGTATATTATAATTCTATTTTATTGAAAAGACTGATGATGTTAACAACATGTTTTCACTGGTCTGTGCAACTCAACAGCATCAATTAATTTGGACTGTTAAGAAAAATTACTAATGGCTTATGAATGCTAAAAAGATATTATTCTTAACCATATGTTTAAGGTCTTCCATCTTACTGTGTTGAGCTGGAGAAGAGCCATGGACTTGATAAACACACACATGCCGTCGGCCTGGATGGGCTTCATGCTCGTTCCATTAAAAGGCTTACCTCATAAGACACATTATGTCACTGCCAATCATTATCTAGCAATTCAACTAAGTGAATAAAATATTTACAAGCCAGCTTGTTATATTTAGTTAGTTTCAGAAGAAAATGCTTGGCAGTGTCTATCACAGTTCATATTTCCATCATAGGCATACGATGACTGCTCATTTAAAATAAAAGGCCCTCTTCCCACCATTTTGACTCTTTATAACAGGGAAAACACGTGTGTAAATAATGATATCAATAATTTTGTTTTCAGCTGTCTGGAAACAACTCATGTTAACTGAATGTAGCCAGTATTAATGTTATTAATGGCGCCTGTGTAGTTTCTCCATGACATTTCAAAATGTCCACCATTAAAAAAGGGCCATAAATGTTACAAGCATGTCTGTAGGTCAGTATATACTGTACCTAATAATTGAATAAGTTGGTCCATATTTGCCTTGTAGGAGTTGTCTACAGGCTATAGCTGCATGTTGTACTAACACAGCTTATACAGTCTTGAAAAAGAGTGAAAAGTGTCTCCTGATTTTGCAGAAATAAACCAGACAATTTGTTGAGAGTCCAAGACATATGGTGTCAGACTGCCTTGGTAGAAAACAGTAAGTTAAACTTCAGTTGAACCTTCGACACTAACTACCAACACAACCGTGTGTGTGAGCATGTGGCTAAAACCACCAGAATGAAGGAATGGCATTATTTAGAAAAAATGAAATCCACTGTATGTTAATTTCAAGTAATTAAGTGAAGATGTTTTATTTTTATTGATTTACTGTATTTAAGTAAATGCAACAATATATTTAAAAGGTTAAATAAAATATAAGTCAGTCTAACTTGTTATACTTAGTGTGTCTTATCTTCAGGAATTGTAATCCAAAAACAGATGTTGCAATAGTCTTTTCAATTTTGCTTTTTAATAAAAGCAGGGAACAAAACATTTGATTTATTACATAAATGTCCCTGATTCAGCTGGATTTAGAGAGATTACAGACCATTTTTAGAACACATCTCTCTTCTAGTGGAAGTTTAAAACTAAATAAAAAGCTTTGAGTCTCCTATCTTCTTTGGTCTTACCAATCAATGGTATCAATAGTGACATTTAAGCATGAACAAAGTCCACAGGAAAATGTCATTGAGGGTTCTTAAAAATTAAAAGCTGTGCCTCTAATCTAACCTTCTCTAATAAGTGATGATTTGAAGGGATGACAATGACAGACTGCATACGAGCTCAATCCATAAATTTCTATAATGCAAAGATGTGCTCCAGTGGCGAGAACTGACCTGTGATACATTCAGAAGTTGTCTCTGAAAGGCAAATCAATATTTCTTGTGAGCTGCATAGTAAGCAAATCGAAGTTCTTTAGCAACAGATAATGAATACAAAATGTCACTAGACATCAAAAAATGAGTCTTTCATGGTGAAAATAAACTTCCCCTGGGTTCTACATTTCTAATTATAATACCCTCAACAACACTGCTTTTCCAAACTAAAAAACAATGTCTGCACAAAAACTGGTTCAAAATTAAAAATCTACACCTCAAGGGTGTTTTTGTCTAACCAGATTCATCACTCTGTTGCAACAACAGCTTTTCCCATTACTGTCAAGCCCAGCGTCCCTTTGCGGCAATAGATTTGCCTCTTCACAACTGAACAAGACACTAACTTTTTAACACATGTCATAAAGCTGTGAGACATCTCATTCAGTGCATAGGGGCCTGTGTTGATCTGAGACTTCAGACATGCCATCGGAGAGAAGAAGCGGTACGTCATCTGATGGGTTTCTCGAACGACAGGCCTGTCACAAAACAGCCAAAAGCTTAGAAGTTGACACACAGTCTTCAGGGATGTCTCTTAAAAAAAAAAAGCGGCGCCCCATTTAAAAAAAAAAAATCTGTAAGTGTGGGTGGCAGGATGGGATTGGGGTACATAACAAATAAAGCATTGGCCTACAAAGATCCAGAGGGAGCACTCTATGTGCCTTCTTGGTATCCATTTAACAGGAGGGCTTACAGCAGCCAGCTACTTACAGCCTAACTGAAGTGCTATATTACTCACCAAGCTCAGCTGGAAACACTATAGAAAATGTGTTTGCCTAGGATCTGCTCTCCTTTATCAATCCCAAACAGCAGGGATAGCTTTAAGCAGTATGCCAGGGTTCCAGCAATAGCAAACAACATTTCAGACAGAAAAGAGAAGGGATGGTTGCACAAATAAGATTTCAGTTTTGTCTCTGTAAATCCTTTAAAGCTAAATCTAACACAGTACATCCTACTGAATTCCCACAGGGACTATTCAAAGACACTGCCTTGAAAAAAGTAACATGCAGACTTAGAAGTACAAGCTCAAGTGTGAACACAGACAGACAGACAGACAGACAGACAGACAGACAGACAGACAGACAAAGATTACAAAGAGAGAATGAGAAACAGGTGCAAGGGCACTTTTATTTCCTACCGATGAAGAGGTTCCACTCAGCGTCAAGGTCTGCCTGGTTCGCCAGACAGCCCCTCATAACGTTGTGACAGTAGTTGTGACAGGGTTTCAGCCCGGGCATGCCACGGCAATATGGACAGTACAGCATCTTGGTCAAGGCTCTGACACATGCAGGAACTACATTCACCTGTAAAGCAAAGAAATGTTCTTCAGTTAGTTTATTATTTTTAAGTCTTTTTAAGCTCATTAAACCTCAGTAATTGTTTTATGACATGCTGCATGACACTAACATTGAGAGAGAGTAGTTGAGATAAAACAGTAATGTTGTACACCACAAGTGACATTTTCATATTTTTAGAAAACGTCATGACGTTTTCCACAGAAACCACTGCGTACCACAATCAGTGCAGATGAAGCATCAATAGTAAGGAATGCAATTCCCAATTGGAACTTCAGGGGGGGTGGGAAGTCAGACACATTTCAAGTTTTGACAAACATCCCCACACTACATCACATCTTCTGAAGCTTGAAATGTGAAAACCCTCCCGATAAAACTGTATGACAAGAAGAGGTTTACAACTCTGTCCATCTCGATTCCTTGTGAAGGCTGTGCCTTTTGTTGTTGGGCCATGTCATTGTACCAGCTTGAGTGAAAGCGACAGGATTCTCACATCTGCTTCCCTTCAGAGGTGGGGATGCAGAACGAAGAGTACATCTGATAATTGGCCTGTCAGCCTCCGTATTCATGCTTGACTTTAGATTTTGTTCAGCACACACTCTGGAGACTGCTGGTGTGTGTGTGTCCGCGCGTGTGTGTGTGTGTGTGTGTGCATGGAAGGTTGGCAGATCGGTCAGTAGCAGGGGCATACAACTGGAGACCATCTTCTACACATAAAGGGGTTAGCTGTGGCAGAGGGACCAATATATCCATCACAGAGGGTGAGGGGAGGTTAGAAAAAAGTCTAATTCTAGAGTAATATTCATGTTCATTCATCAGAGCAAAACAGTGATTCATGTGCCATTTCTAAAAGTCAGGTCAAGTCAAGTCAGTTTTATTTATATAGCTCAAAATCCCACATTTGCTGTGCTTTACAATCTGTACAACCTCAGACACCCTCTACCCTTTTATTCGCTTTTGTGTTAATAATTTTGACCTAATCTTACCACTAGTTCTCATAATTATTATTGTTAATTTGTCTTTTGTTTCATTAAAACTGTTGGAAGAAAGAAAATAAAATAAATATGCAGAAACAGTCAAATGGACCTGAAAAAGGAAAAAAAAACATCAGTGCACTTTTGTTCCCGGCTACATCTGATGTTGGGCTATGACACCCAGCTTCAGTCTTCTACCCAGTCTGTTCTGTACACTGTAGTTTGTCTTTGATTTCACTGGTACAATGACCAGACCACCTGTGTGCACATATGTGTGTGTGATGAGAAAAAAAGACAAGAGAGGAAGAGAGACAGAAAGGGGGGAGACAGAGATGTGGCTATTAGTGTATTTGCTTCCACTTCTGCTTGGCAGCCAGCTACAAGGATCAAATGAACCATCTTTGACATTTGCAATCTGCCACTGACATCACGCGATGTTTTGTACGAAGGCCATTAAACTAGGTCGCTAACTGTCATTTCCACCACTGCATGTCAACTGCTGGTATGTGTTCTTGTAAATTGTTTATACCAGTCTGGGAGTGTGGTTAACATATGGAGATTTTTCACAAACAGGGTTCATTTGATTGAACTCATTTCACAGTTGACATGCATGGAAAGCATTTATGTGTCAGGCTTCTGTAGCATCATGTTTGAAACAGGTACAATTCTGCTACTAATGCTACAAATTGAATTTTTGCTAGTTTTAAGATATTAGTTTAGGATTAAATAAGATGCATTGGAAAAATAAGAAATGAATTGTTCATGGGTGGCAATGTGTGTGTGTGTGTGTGTGTGTGTGTATGTGTGCACCTACAGTATTTCTGATCCTTGTGGCAAATGGTTAGGAGGGTATAAATGAAAGAGAGCTGATCTAATGGCTAACAAAATAGCAATGTTAATTCCGTTTAAAACCCAACCAGCTTGTGGCAATAAAAATAAATCACTTTATAAGCAGTATATGAACAATAAATACATGTTCATAACACACTACAACATAGTTGTATGCACCTATCAGTGCAAGTGCTTATTAATTAAATAATTAAAATGACATTATAGTGTGTTATAAACCATTTATTAACTGTCTATATACAATTTATAAACGCTAAATAGGGGTTTATTCATAAATTATTATTTATGGACACATCACTGTCATTAGATGTACAATGTTAACTAGTGTTTAATTTCTACATTTTCTGATTCAGATGCAGTGCTGAAGGGAGTACAAAAAAAAGGAAAAAGATGAGCAAACAGAGACAGAGCCGGCTGAGGAGGAAGCCAACGACGCTGCCAAAGACGCAGAGAAACAAACACCAAGAAAATGGAGAGACAGATACAAATGAAACAGACGGAGAGAAAACCGGACAAGACACTAGCAGACAAACAGAAGGAACAGGCAGGTGCTACCGCCACATTTGGACAGAGGAACAGAAGCAGAAGTACATGCCAATCACAGTGTTTGCTTTGGAGAGAACTGCCTCTTACTTTTTAAATAATTTTTACTTTTAAATTCACATTTTAGGCTTTCTATAACGATGCCTTTTCTTAAAATATATGCCATATTTTGTTAGCAAATTATAAAAGCATCCAGCACACGTTTGGCCCTATATTCATTAATTTACTGACTTACTGTGCTTGTGCAGTACTTAGCTATATACAGCAGCAGCCTGCATGCAGCTATACCCTTTAGATCTCAGTCTAGTTATTCTGTGCTTGCACCCTTATGTGTAATACTGTATGCACTAAATGCTGTAATGACAAAATCAGTATCACACATTTTAATCCATGACTGAAATCTGACTGCTACATGCAATTCACCAGTCTAGGGTAACTGAGACAGGGACGAGACAGTTTTTAGATTGCACTTCCTCTTCCACCTGCATCACCATGCATCTCCAGTAATCTCTCGCCCTCGTCAATGACTCAAACCCCACAGATTAAATATAACATTTTCCTATCAAGGTATTTGAATCATTTTATTTCACAGGGTAATTTGCATATAAATATATTTGCTATAGTGACAGACGGAGTAGAGAGGGAGAGCTTGTGCCTTTTGTTTTCTCTGTTGACTCAGCCCCACCCAGTCACTGTACCTGGGGAAGGACATTAAATCCAGTTTAAAGCATAATCGTAAAACAAAAAACTGGTTGACAGGATGACTTTGGAATATATTCACATAATAAATTCACTGCTCCACTGCTATGGAATAAATGATAGCAGCATTACGGAGGAGCCTAATAAAAATATAGTATACTGTATCATGTACTCAATAGTAGCAAACCATTGCAAATGTCATTTTGTACAATTTAATGCCATCATACATTTTCTTCCAACTTGTACAATAACCTACAGTTCTTATTCACGAGAATATTAAATAATTTAAAAAAGTTCTGGGATTAATCTGTTTCTGTCAGTTCAATTAAACTTGGCCCAGTTTCTAGACAGCCTATTTCAGAGACATGGAGAAAACACTGATGGAGAATTCTCTTACCTATAGACCCATTTCAACTACATTCTTTACATCCAGTGTGGTTTGTTAGTGGCAACAAAGAAATATACTTCATACTACACATAGGAAAAGTGTTTTAAGCTGCCCCTGAGCTTTGTGAGCATTCGGAAAATTTGCATTAAAATGGTGCATCTTAACGCAATTATCTCACAGGGATTTTTACATCATAGCAGTAACTGTGCCCAGCAGTCGCTGGGTGCCCTGGATGAAGGGTAATCTGATAATCTTGTTAGCACTTATTTACAGTTGAGTGGATGGAGTATTTCACAGCAGGCTGAGGGTAGGACTGGGGAGCGAGATGCCTCAGATCCAGAGTGAGATTAAAACACTAATCTACTCATCTGATGTTTGAGTGCTATGATAACACTGCATGGAGAGCATGTGTTTGTGAGTGAGTTTTAGCGATGGTGGAGGATATATTTAGATTATATACTTAAGTATAAGTAGCAATATTGCATTGAATATCACTTATGTACTTAAGAATCATTAGCAAAATGTACTTTAAGTATCAAAACTAAAAGTACTCATAATGCAGAAAAAAATAATAATTTATATTATATTATTGGATTATTATTACCTTTACATTAATGTGTAAGTAGCTTTTTACTGTTGTTGTTGGTTGAGGTGGAGCAAATTTCAGTCCTAAAGCACTACATTTTTTTTACATTTAAATCTTAATAGGTAAAGTAACTACAGTTGTCCAATGTAATGGAGTAAATCACCACTGCATTGTAGTGGAGTAGAAGTATAAAGTAAGATCAAAAGAAAACACCCAAGTAATTGACAATTACCTCAAAATCGTACTTGAAGTGCTCAATACTTTCACTTTAGATACAAAGTACATTTGATTGTTAATACTTGTAATTTGGTATTTTCTCAGTGCAAATATATGAACTTCTACTTAGGTGAGTGAATATACAAAGTTATATTATTGTTTGGTAGAAAAATACAAACCAGAGGGGGCTGAGGCATAGACAGCAGGCTACTCATTACCTGCTGCTACAGAAAAGCAGTTTGAAGATGTGGTCTGCTGTTCAGCTAGACTCCTGATGTGAGCATTAACTTTACTGAGGATTAAAAATGTAAGAATATAAATGCAATGAGCCTGAGCCATAATAAAGCAAACCATTTCTACTTTCAGCCCATAAAGGCCACAGTTGGGAGCGATGTGAATTCAGTATCAGCAATTAGACATATCTAAGATAACTAAATCATTGCAATAAAAAGACAAAGCTCAATATTATAATGAGATGACTCTAAAAGATACTCTTAGAAGACATCACCTTGTCTATCTGACAGGGTGTTGTCATGCACATATGGCGTGAACTCCCTTAAGGGGTAACAGAGTGGGAAGAGCACAGACAATAGAAATTGCTTTGTGCCACAAAGTAATGAAGTTGTGAGAAATGACAATGACTTTGCAAGCTACCAAGGCCAATCAAGGGGAACACTAGTGGGACAGTGAGACTGTCGCCAAAAAAAATTGTCTCAATAGTTCTGTCATAATTATTGTGACAGGATGCGTTGCT